TATTTATATACTGTATATGAGGCCCCTAAAACTGTAAGAAATGCAAAAAATTCACTGATAATAACTCATTCTCAAATTGTCCCCCTTAAAAATCAAATTGCCCCCCTGTGGGGCATGTGACCCACGTTGGGAACCACTGATCTAGACAAATATAGACATATACACAATAAGATTCGTTTTAATGTTTAGTATTGTGACATGTTCTTCAGCCACCCTGTGCTGAGTCATGCCAGACTCAAGAATTGTAATATGAAGATTAGTCCTGCCTGGAAAAGATATTTTGTTATGCAAAAATGTGTTGTATGCAAGCTCTCGGAGGATTTGACGAGCTAATTGTTCATTTCTCTTCGCTAACCCTGTCTCCCACTCAGATCTCCACATTTCCAGCCCTCAGTATATCCACACTAACAACAGAGCCGTCCCCAAACCAGGATTTCATATTTGGGGTGTTATTGTCCATTTGTTCTAGCAGTTTGTAAGAGAACTATGTTGAAATCTCCTACTGTAATTGTGAATTTGTCTTCTTCTCTTTTATTCCTGCTAATGTTTTGCTTTATATATTTTGAGGCAATATGATTCATGTATACAAGTTAAGTATTTTATTTCTTTCTGGTGAATTGCCTCTTTTATTTTGTTCTTAATGTTTTTTATTGATTTCAGTGAGAGGGAGAGGGGAGAGAGAGGAACATCGATGGGCTGCTTCCTGCACGCCTCCCACTGGGGATCGAGCCTACAACCCGGGCATGTGCCCTTGACCGGGATTCGAACAGGTGTCCTCCTGGAGCATGAGACAATGCTCAACCACTAAGCCACACGGCCCAGGTGCCCCCTTTATTTTTATGTAATGCCTCTTGATAGCAGAACTTCTCCACTGCAGCACTGTTGACATGCTGGGAGGAATCATTCTTTTATTGGGTTGGGCATTGCGGAGTGCTGTCCTGTGCACGGTAGGATGTTTGGCAGCATCCTTGTTCTATGCCCACTAGATGCAATAGCATCCCCACCCCCAATCATGTCCACCAAAAGTATCTCTAGAGCCCTAGCCGGTTTAGCTCAGTGGATAGAGTGTCGGCCTGCGGACTGAAGGGTCCCAGTTTCGATTCCAGTCAAGGGCACATGCCCAGGTTGCAGGCTCGATCCACAGTAGGGGGCGTGCAGGGGGCAGCCGATCAATGATTCTCTCTCATTGATGTTTCAATCTCTCTCTCCCTCTCCCTTCCTCTCTGAAATCAATAAAAATATACTTTAAAAGAAAAAATATCTCTAGACCAGCGGTTCTCAACCTGTGGGTCGCGACCCCTTTGGGGGTCGAACGACCCTTTCACAGGGGTCACCTAAGACCATCGGAAAACACACATATAATTACATATTGTTTTGTGATTAATCACTATGCTTTAATTATGTTCAATTTGTAACAATGAAATTGGGGGTCACCACAATATGAGCAACTGTATTAAAGGGTCGCAGCATTAGGAAGGTTGAGAACCACTGAGCTAGATATTGCCAAGACAGGGGGGCAAAAGCCTGCCTGGTTGAGAGCCACTCCTCTATAATAATGCTTTGCGCCTTAAATTCTCTTTTGTTTGCCCTAGCTGGTTTGGCTCGAGCGTCAGCCTGCGGACTGAAGGGTCCTGAGTTCGATTCCAGTCAAGGGCATTTACCTTGGTTGCAGGCTCCCTGGTTGGAGGGCATGCAGGAAGCAACCAATCGAAATGTTTCTCTCACATCAGTGTTTCTCTCTGTCTCTCCCTCTCCCTTCCACTATTATTATTATTATTACTAGGGGCCCGGTGCATGAAATTCGTGCACTGGGTGTGGGAGGGAGGGGGGGGAGTGTCCCTCAGCCCAGCCTGCCCCCTCTCACATACTGGGAGCCCTCAGGCGTTGACCCCCATC